TGAGCGGCCCCTCGGGGCAGTCTTGAGCAATGGCGTGACCCAAGCCACAGGAACCACGCCAAGACCACAAGCACGTACCACAGCCTCTGTGGCCACCGGCCACCTGGGGGGGATGTGCACGGGGCTGGAGGGCTGGGAGAGACTGCAACAGGGCCAGACCAGAGAGGACACAGCTCCCTGCGTCTCCCAGAGATGTACTTGGTGCAGGGAGCAAAGCATTCCGGAAAGAGAGACTTTCCAGCTGCCGGCCCCCCAGGAGGTGGGGGCACACAGGGGGCCAGGAGCAGAGAGAGATCCTCTGGATGGGGGCTCAGCTGGGCACGTCCCACCCGCAGTGAGCCCCGTGTGCCATCCTGATCCAGCAGAGCCCAGCACAGACGGAAAAATCCATGAGCCCAGGAGGTCGCTTAGGGCCAGCTTCCAAAAGACCGGCTACCGAGCCAGGATGCTGCAAACGGGTCCACCGAGGTCCCCCCTTCAGCTCCAGTGGCCGACTGTGCTGGATTTGAATCCTGAATCTGCCACTAACACCAGATTCCTCGGGGAGCTCCTTCACCTCCCTGGGCCTCAGTTTCCTCATCTGTGAAATGGGGATAATTGCAGGGCCTCTCTCACGAAGCTGCTCTGAGTTGAAATGCACGGAGCCCTCAGCGCGGAGCCTGGCCCAGTCACAGCTGGTGCTGAGTGAACATCGCCCTTGTTACTGTCGTCGTCTTCATCGTCATCACCATCCCCAGGGCGGTCAGCCACATCGCTGTCCCCTTCGCACCGCAGGGCCGGGCAGCCGGGGAACCTGACAGGGCTTCGATGTCTCCCTGGGCTCCCATGTGCCCCCATGAGGGGTCTCGCAAACACTGGCTAAGACAACCTAAGTGTGCTTCCAAACGAGGGGCACCCAGGAGGCAGGGCGAGACTGACCTGTTCCCCTCGAGAAATAAACCACCACCGACAGCTCAGCCTCCGTCCACTGAGAAGACGTGCCGGGGGTCGGCGGGGGGGGTCTCCCCATCCCTGAGGCCTCCATGTCTCATCTGCTGGGAACAACCGGTCATCCATGTTCCCGTGGCTGCATGGGGAGACCGGGGGGAAAGGGCTGTGCTCTGCACCCAGAAACCCACATGGAGAGGAGGAGCGGAGAGAAAAGTGGGGACAAAGGCCCCAGGGCAGGCTGTGAGGGACAGTGGCGCAGGGCGGGGACCCATGTGTGCTGTGGCCTGGGATTCCCGCCTGACCCCACAGTCCTGAGCTGCCAGGGCTGGGCCAAGTGGTGGTCAGATGCCGATGGGACAGCAGAGCTGTCATCAGGGTGCCTTCTGTGCCCCGGGCAGAGGGCGACGTCCCCCTGCCCATGTGAGCCACCCTCCCCGCCCATTCCCACTGGGCGCTTCTGCTGCAGAGCACAGGGTCTCTGCCCGCCTCACTCCCGGCTGCTCACGGGATCGGCCCCTGGAGACCACCACCGCCTGCGCCCAACCCCTGTAGGTGCCCAAGCAGATAAGCCCACACCGCTCCACGCAGGCTGCGGGACCCCGCCTGCCCACGGGGAGATTCATCAGCGGTATCACAGGTTTTATAAAACCCAGGAGAGAGAAAACTCTGGCTGGTTCCAGTAACTGCATCTCGAATTAATGAGAGGGGCTGCAGGGCCTGTGTCTGCTGTTTATTTCACTGTCGTGGGGCAGAGAGGAGTTACAGCCCCAAAGTGAACGCGTGGGTTGACCCATTTATCCATATTTACGAACAGGGCCGGCGGCGGTGCTGAGGGCACAGGAGCCTGTCCGGGATTTGCGTAAATCTCCGTCCCTGGCAGAGCCCAGGCCACACCAGCTCCTCATCAGGAGCCCCGGCTGACGGCAGGGAGGGGGAGCCCCAAAGACACGTCCACCTCCCACAGAGACAGACTCTCCTGCCTGCTTTCCTCTGTCTCTCGTGAGGGGCAGAGCTCAGCAGCATCCCCTCTCCACCCTGGGAGCCCGGCCTGAGACGCCAGCTCGAGCGGAAGGCCCCGGCTCTCAGCACTGCAGACGCCACGGCTAAGCCAGGACAACTCAGATGAAGAGGAAACAAACGTGTCTCCTCTGCTATAAAACACTCCAGGCTCCCCAGTGCCCCGGCTGGGCCCGGCCTCCCTCCCAAGTCCCACAATCCCCTCTTTATCTCGTCCCCTGGTCTGACCACACTCTAACCCAGAGGTCTTACAATGGGAGCTGGGGACAGACTTCAAGGGCAAATATGAGTTGTTGAGCCTATACAGTGTTTTACGGCTGTTGTTTTTCATATGACCTAACATTTATTTATTTATTTTTTTTAATAATTTTATTTATTTATTTTTTTCCCCAAAGCCCCAGTAGATAGTTGTATGTCATAGCTGCACATCCTCCTAGTTGCTGTATGTGGGACACGGCCTCAGCATGGCCGGAGAAGCCATGCGTCGGTGCGTGCCCGGATCCGAACCCAGGCCGCCAGTAGCGGAGCGCATGCACTCAACCCCTAAGCCACAGGGCCGGCCCCGACCTAACATTTAAAAATCAGGTATTTTCATATAAATCCAGATTTCCAGTTCATTATCAAACATCAGAAGACCTGCCAATACATGGCCACTGGGCCAAGAGTCAGCTGGAACAGATACGTGGCACAGGCTCTCTAGTTAGCCACAGGCCTCACCACTCCCCACTGCCTCCCACTGATACTGAAGTCAAGTGTGAGTTACCATTTATCATCACGTTTGCACTTCTATTTTCCACAGAGCAGAGAAATGTCTCTGTTTGCTCATAAAACAAGCAAAAGAAAGAGGGTCCTGTGATTTTTCTCCATTCCTTCATTCAAGCCCTGGAAGGTACTGAGACTCTTATTCTCAAGACTCTGAGGGCACCGTGCTCTCTCAGGCCCTGTGCCTTTGTACCTGCTGGTCCCTCTGCCTGGGACACCCTCACCCTGACCTTGTCCACCCGAGGGGCTGCTCCTCAACCTCATCTCTGGGCCCCTTACTCTATGGAGCCTCTCGGGCAGACCACCGGCGTACTATCTTGGAACCGCCTATGTACACCTGGTCTACACAACCAGCATGGAGCCCTGTGCCCAGCACACGAATGTCCCTTGGACAAATGAGTCGACAAGCAAGGCCTTAACACCGCAAAGTGAAAGGCGTGGTAGCCAGGACCAGAGACACGCAGCACTGACCAGGACTCATCTGGGGACACCGTCTCCCTAAATGACCTCAACACACACAGTCTTCGCCTCCCTCCAGGCAAAAGTGGCTCTCGGCACAGGGTGAGAAGGAGGTGGGCTCCATCTCTCCCTATCTGACTCAGAACTCTTTCCTCTCCAGATCCTCCAGCCCAGCCACCAGGAAGAGCTTGTGAGCCCACCCACAGCGCCTCCACAAAGGCAGCATGTGGGGGGCACTGGGAAAACTAGCGAGAGAACTGGCACCAAGTAGGTGCTCAAGAAATACCTGACAATGTTTGTAAAATAAATCTAAGGCCTTTAGCTGGCCCCCTATTTTGCCACACTCCCCACCACTCCCTATTGTTGCCTCTCACATCTCAGAATATTTATGCTCCCTGCCTGGCATTTACTTCAGTTTTTGCCTCTCAATCTATAAAATTCCTGAATGCACTTCAATTTCTAAAATGCCACAACTAGGTCTTGGGAATTAAATAGCTCCATGCCAGTAAGCCTCAGTTTTACACACCTGTTAGATGGGCGAGCAGGCTGGCCAACTGTGGCTGCACAAAACTCGAGAAGAAAACCGTATCCACAAACCAAATGCAGCCACCCTCCAACGAGCCAGGCCAGTGAGGACCAACGCTCGCTCCCCATCATTCTGGTCCGACACTCAGAACACAGTGAGGGGTTGCTTATTCCCCTGTCAACAGGTTTGCTTCCCCAGTTACAGCCAGCTTAGCCAGCAGGACAGCGGATCTGTACTCTTGATGGCCAGCCCCGGAAAGCGAGAACAGAGACACAGGATGCGCTTAGGAAGCCGCATGGACCAACCCGTCACAGGCTGTGGGGCCCGACCACCGAGTGCCTGTTTCACAGCAGACACTGGGACTCCAGTGGGGACGGCAGAACTTGACGCCCTCAGGGTCCTGCCTCGCCAGCCTGGGACAGGGAAGGTGGGTGGCTGGGGGTGCTGGAAGACGCCGATGTCAGGGAGCACCCACCTAGGGTCCTATCTGTCACCCCAGCTCACGCACTCCTGGCCTTCGTCACTCTCCCCCGGGCTCCCCCGGGTGAGGCCCTGGGAAGGACGTGCCTCCACCAGCTCCGTCCAGCATCTCACAGAGGCGCCTGCCTGACCCCTCTGACCACAGACAAGCCCTCCTCCTCCCGCCAGGCGCTCCCTTCACCTGCGCTGGGCTGATCCCAACAGCCCCGAGGGGACAGAAACCAACCCCTTCCCTCTGTCTCCCGCACGAGTGCTCCGGAGCCCCCTTTAAAGTGTGTACCACTGACGCCCATCATCCTTAACATCATTTACTGAATGTTTTTTTAAACCAACTCCTTTTTCCTCTGACTCAGAGGTCAGCAGACCTTTTCTGCAAAGAATCAGACAGCAAATATTTTAGGCTCTGTCATTTCTGTCGTGACTATTCAACTCGGCCGCTGCAGCAGAAAAGCTACCGATGATACGCAAACGAACGGGTGTGGCCATGCGTCGATAAAACTTTATTCACAAAAACAGGCGGTGGGCCAGTGCGCCAAGCCCTGCTCTAACTTAAGTAACCCTGTCGCAGCCTCAGTGAGGTCTGAGGCCCTGCAGGCGGAAGGACTGGCTATTGTTTTCTTCCAAATATTCGTTAAAATAAACACAAAAAACTACTAAAATGTTTCAAATCTTAAGTTTGTGGGCCAGCCCAGGCCCTCCCGAGAAGCCAGCCCTTGCTCTGGGAATGTGACCTTTTTCACCACAGGGACTACAGGGCACCAAGCCAGGAGTTCTAGAATTTTCCAGGCTGAGAATGGAAGTGGCCATTTCTCCCAGCTCTCTTCTGTGCTGCTGGGGTAGGACAAACACCCCCAGAGAGGGTGTCCCAGCCGCCACAGAGGGGGCCCAAACTGAAGGAGCCCACTGCTGAGCATCACACGCAGACGTCAGCGTTGGTGACGCCAACAGCCGCTGAGCATGCTGGGAACGGTCTCGAGGGCCGACCCCTCGCCCCGCCCTCACCTGGCTCTTGCCGCGGCGCCGGTAGCTCCGCCTCACCAGGCTCTTGTAGTTCTCGTTCTTCTTGGTCAGGTAATAGTAGAGGACGCACTCGGCCACCGTCTGCGGGGACAGAGCAGAGCGCGCCGAGGGGGCGCAGAGCGGGCGGTCAGAGCAGGGGTCCGGGTTCACGGCCTGCCTCCTCCACGCGCTGGCTGGGGGGCCGTGGCCAGGCTCCCTAAGCTCTGCGCCTGGGTTTCTCCCCTGTGTGACGGGGACAGACGCAGGGAGTGACACGTATTTATGGAAAGTACCTGGGGCCGTGCCCGGCCTGGAACGCCCACTGCGGTGGGGTTACCTGTCCTGTTGCTGTTGCTGCTGCTGCTCATAATTACGACGCCGAAGCCGTCGTCTGCCAGCCCCGGCCCCAGGAGAACACGGCCTCCAGCTCCCAGGTGGGCAGACGCGAAGCCTTCCCCAGCCAGTCTGGGGTGTCCTTTCTCTCACCCCAGCTTCCGCCTCCCTAATATCTGGGGCCCTGAGTCACCTCTTCCCAGCTCCGTGGATCCAGCCTGACTAATGTCCCCGTGCAACTCCTCTCGTGGACTGTTTACATCTTGTCTCTGCCTCGGTCTCTTCCACGTGGACCTGGGTCTGAATCCTGGTGCAGCCACTTGCTGAGTAAGCGACCGGCCCTCTCTGAACCCCCCACCTCCTTGTCCAAACGGGACCAGTACACGGGCATCCTCGGAAAGCAGCTGGAGGACTTGACACGATGATACACGCCACCTGCGGCCACAGGGCTGGCTCCGGGTGACAGTGCTAACGCCGGCAGCCGTTACTGACACGATGTAAAATGTTTCTGCGACGCTCACAGCCGGGGCCAGGCCAGGACCTCGCCTCTGAGGGGCAATCCCGGAGGCCTGCTGGGGGCAGAGGCGGGCTGGGCCTCCAACCCCACGTCCTGACACACCTCCGGGAAGGCACCACGAACAGAGGCCGCTCCCAGGATAAACCCGGCCCGCACGGCACTCGAGAAAAACATTTTGTAACCAGACGCCCGTATTTGTAATTCGGGCGATGTGGGGTCCCACTTCCCCTTGAACCATTCAGGAGAGCCCCTTCCTGCGCTGGCGACGATGGGCTGACCCCAAGCACCAGCTGTCCCTCCAGATGGGGACGGGCCAGCCAGGTCACCGAGCTTCTACCCTGCCATCGGCCTCACTCGCCATCAGGACATGCCTGTCCTCTGTTTCAGATCCTTCTGGAAGCTCTATTCTATTCTATTTGCTCTCTGGCGCAGAGACCTCTGAGTCCCTTGTCCCCAAACCCCGCTGCTCATGACCAACTTCTGACACGCCTGCTCCCATCCCGGGGAGCCCTGCACTGGAGCCTCCTGGGCCATCACAGCCCCAGCAGGAAGCCGTCATGACCCAGAGGACGGCTGTTCACAGGGCTGCTTCTCCGCACACATGGCCCCATCTCCGTCCTCCCACGGCTGTCAGCTCATTAAGGACGGACGCCAGGAAGAACTGAGACCCTTTAAAATACCCACCGGCCCCGCCCGCACACCCTCCGCAGTCAGGGGGCACGAGGCCTCCGGCAGCAGGGCATCCTTGAAGCTGGGGGTGGGCAGATGCCCTGACTCTGAGAGACGTGATTCAGGGGAGTGCTGCTTACAGCCCCCAGAATGCAGCCCCCGAAGATAAACCCTTGTGGGGGCCCTTCAGCTCTGCCCTGTGACGCCAGGATTCCAAGGCCCGACTCTGACATGCGGCCAGTCCAGCCCCCCGAGCCAGCTTCTCCCCACCTGCGGCCACGCGGGCACTGCCCAGCCCAGCCCGGCCTCGTGGGTGCACAGGGGGGCTTTACCGTTCTCTGGGGACACTTCGTGTCCACTTGCCAAGGGGTAGCTGGGGCAAAAAGGGGCACCGCCTCAGGCTGGGTCTGGGAGCAGGACAGGGTTCAAGCATTGGTTCTACGTGAAGGTTTGTCCGAAGGGGATGGGGACTTGCCAGCCACACGCCTGGCCTGGCATCAGAGGTGTCAGAAAGCACACAGTGACCATCAGGGGACCCAGAAACTTCACTGCGTCCAGCCCCCGGAAGACCACTCTTGCCTATAAGTCCTCAATTCTGACACGGGCTCAGCACGGCTTCGGGACCTGTGCCCGATCTGCACGGAGCCACATCCAGGGCGCCGGCTCGGGGACGCGGGCACCCAGCTCCCCCGGGGTTTCCCAGCCTGGCGCTCCGCCCCCGAGGCCGGGAGCCGGGGCGGGGCCTCGGCTGTTTCTCCAGGAGGGAGGAAGGGAGGAGGGAGGACGGACAGACACAGCAAGGGGCACACTTTCTGCCCATGGGGGCGGGAGGGTCCTTCCCTCCCCCGCCTGAGTGGCTGCCTCAGGAGGGGACGCAGGAGGGGCGGGGCGGGCGGCCCTGGGTGGGTGGAGGGCAGCCACTCACCTTCCTCTCCAGGAATGATGCGATCAGGCCGAAGTTCTTGGGGTGCTGCATGAACCTGCGGGGAGGGGAGGGCAGGCGTGAGCGGGGCCCGAGGGGGGCTGCCTGGCTGGGCGGCCGCCGAGCTCCCGGGCGCCTGCCATCTCCGAGGCCCGGCTGGGCGGGCGCCGCCCCAGCGGAGCGAAGCGGCCCGGGGGGTGTGGGACGGGCTGGGCGGGCGGCCGGGGAGGGAGGGCGTTCCTCTGGTGAGTCACTGGTTTCAGCGCCTTTGAAAATATATTTGTTTGTCCTGCTGGAGGCGGCTTCCAGGAAAAATGAGGACACAACAGGCAGCCCTTCGGTAGGGTCCCCCCTTCTAAAATCTGCTTTTGTTTCTAGCGCAGGCGGCTCTGGGAAGCTGGGCCGCGCCAGCCCACGCGGGGCACCCCCCCCAACGAGGTCACAGGTCACGGCCCAGCGGCTGCCGGGCCTCCCGGGCGAGGTGGAGCAGAGGCCCTGAGTGCCCACAGGAGGCAGGCCAGCCGGGGAGGCCGCGAGAAGCGACTGGAAAAGCAGTGGTGGCGGGCAGCTGGCGCCCCACCAACTGGCTTCCTGCGAAGCCGGGAGAATCACCGGGAAACAGTTCGGCGAGGCTGAGGTGTCAGGGCCACAGGAGCAGGCGGACGGCGGGGGCGGGGATGTGGGTCATGGCTGCCTGGGCCCCAGGGACGCGGGGTGGAGCCCCTGGCCCGGGCCCAGCCTCGGCCCGGCCGTCCCCGCGACGTGACACTGTCCCACAGCCTCCCTCGGGGAGAGAAGAGGCTGCCGGTGGCGCAGGGGCCCCGGGTCCCCCCGAGAGAGCCTGGGCCAGCGCCTGGCCCTCCAGATGACCAGGCAGGAGGCCAGCGAGCCCCTCCCCTGCTCCCCAACCAGACACGGGGGAATCCGGAACAGCCTCCTCTCTCTTCCCGGAGGAAGTGGGAGTCGGAGGGGCAGGCCTCCCGGCCTGGGAGCCCGCCTCAGACAGCCTGCGACGCCCTCTCTTCCAGACAGACAGTCCTTCCCCTCCCCTCCCTCTCCCTGCCCCAGTGACACTTCCTCCCCCCAACAACCCTTCCTCGGGGTTTCCCCAAGCAGAGATGGGGCCCCAAAAGACCAGGAATCAAACTGAGGAACCTCCTAGGTCCCCTCCCACCTTCACCTGCATCCTCTGCCAGTGTTTACTGAGGATTTCCTGTGCCCTGGGCCCCTCACGACCACTACACCAGGGAGGAGCTGCTGCTGGACCCATTTTACAGAAGAGGAAACCGAGGCTCCGGGAGCGGGAGTGGCTGCTCGAGGTCACGAAGCCACCAAGTGGTGGAAGTCCGTGCCACCAGCACACGATTGTCAAAGGCCCTGAGCGCCACCAGTTCCGCTGAGAATGAGACCTCCACCAGGACCACACTCCCTGAAAGACACGGGCTGCCAGCCTGCGTCCCAGCAGACGCCAGCGCAGCCTGGGCGCCCGCTCTGCAGCTACCGAATCAACAGTGAAATCACGAAGTCGGAACAGCAACACGAAACCTCCAGAAACACCGAAATGTGGAAAGCACTCCAGAAACCTCTTTTTTGTTAAGAAAGCATAAATAAATAAAAATGTCTAGCGTACCAGGGAAAACTGACATGCCTAACGCGGCAGGAATTCTTGGCACCCGTGACTTTCCACAGCCACGTTGCTGGTGCAAAACTGTACCTCACAGTGGGGCTTGACGCGACGCAGAAGTCACGCCCGTGATTGTGGGGACCTAGGAACAGGCCTGTCTGTCTCTGAGCTGAAACCCCAAACACCCCAAGGGCCATTTCCCGTAGAAGACGGCTGGATCCGGGAAAGGCCCTCGAGGGCTCCTCGCACCACCCTTCTGTTTCTATGGATGTTCTGTAATTTTCATCGTCAAAAGCTATTCTAAGAGATATTACTTCCTACCCAAGACCCTCTTCAGCGGCCCCTCCTGCGTCTCCAAGTCCTGGGGTCCACTGCATAATTCACCCTGCCCTGCCCGTGACCCAGAATCGTCCCCGTCCCCGAGGGCTGGCCTGGCACTTTGGGGCCCTACAGCAGGTGGCTGGAGAACACGGCTCATCTCTTTTGAACAACCACCCTGGCGATGAGGCCTCCTCCAGAGGCGGAGGCGGAGGTCCAGTGGCTAAGCAGGCAGAGCCTGTTTCCAACACGCCCTCCTGGCCGAGCACAGAGGCCTCGTCTGTGCCTCAGTCTCCCCACCTCCTGCCTCACGGGGTCCTGGGTCCTGAGTGGCGCTCTGTGACTGGGGTGTGGTTCCCTGGGACACAACTTTGAGTGTGGTGGGGGAGGAGGGCTGTCTCCATCCAGCAGCCTCTCACTGGTCTCCCCAAAACACCCAGTTGCTCTGCTCTCTCATTTTAGAAGCCCCAAGATTCATCTCTTAGCACCCCACTCCCACCTCTGCTTTCCAGAGCCCTCTGCACCCTGGCTCCACACCTCTCCCCTATAAGCTTCTCCACTGCCATCACTGAGCCCTCGCCCCAAAGCTGGGGGAGTCTGAATCCTGCCTCCACGAGCTGTAAGCTGTGTGGCCTTTATCAAGTGTCTTAACCTCTCTGAGCTTCTGTTTCCTCCTCTATGTAATGGGGACAGCCGGGCAATGCTGTGATGGGGGAAGAGAGGGACAAATGCACAAAACCCAGAGAACACTTGTACGGAGTCTAAGATAGAGGACGTGCTCAAGAATAGCCACTTTCAAAGTAAAATGAAAACCAAAAAGCCACCAGCCAGCCACACATGCTGCCCAAGGCTTCAGTCCAGCCTCCAGACCCTCCACGTTGATCTTGTGATAAACGCTGTCCCATTTCACACGAGGCTGCCTTCACACTTTGTACTGAGTTGAACAGTGTCCCCCAAATTTCACATCCACCCAAAGCCTCAGAATGTGACCTTATTTGGAAATGATTTCTTTGCAGATATAATTAGTTAAGATGAGGTCATCCTGGAGTAGGGTGGGCCCCGAATCCAATATGACGGGTGTCTTCATAAGAGAAGACACAGAGACCCCCAGGAGAAAAGGCCACGTGAAGACAGAGGAGATGGAATGGTCCGTCTACAAGCCAAGGAACGACACGGAGCGCCGGCAGCCACCAGGACCTGGGAGAGAGGCCAGAGCACACTCTCCCGCAGAGCCCCCCGGAGGAACCGGCCCTGCCGACACCTGGATCTTGGGCCTCCAGAACGGTGCAAGAATAAATTCCGGGGGTTTAAGCCCCCCGGTCTGTGGCCATTTGTCACGCAGTCCTAGGCAGCCAGGACACACTGCAGCAGGATGGGTTTCCGGGGACAGGGGAGGGCCAGAGGTCTGCGGTGGCCGTCCAGGCCCGAGCGGGGCCCACGCCCTGCCGACGGGGGACTCACTTCTCCCGGAAGGTCTCCTTCTCCTGCTCGCTCCACATGTTCATGACCTGGCGGTCCTTGTACACCTTCATGGGGTCGTCCATGAGCCCGTTCATGTTGATGAACTTGATCCGCTGCTGGTCCGCGTCGTACAGCATCGGCGGGATCACGGCCAGCTGTCGCATCTGCTTCTCCAGGTTCTGGAGGGAAGGCGAGAAGGCCGGGGGCCCAGGTCAGAAAGCAGGGGACCAGACGGGGGCCGGGCTCAGGCAGGGAGGGGTGCTCCGGCCAGCGCTGGGGACCCAGGCAAGGCCCCGGGGGAACGGATATTCCGACCAAGAGCGGGAAAATGCAAAACCAGAGAGACAGAGAAGGATGAGCAAAAAAATAACAACAGCCTGTGCTGGGGAGAGGGAGAATTTAAAGGCAGCCCCAGACAGATTTATGGTGGGCAGGGCTATAAATTCAAGGCAGAGAGCAGCAGTGGCCTCTCTGCAGGGAGAGGGGAGCAATGAATCTTCCCTTTGGAAATGCAAGCACCATAAAACACCGCAGGAGAGATGTTCAGCGCAGCTGGGCCCGAGGAGCTCAGGAGACAGGGCATGGCCATCCAGGTTCAGAGGGCGCGGGGCGGGAGAGGAGCTGCCTGGCTCCAGGAGAGCGGGGAGACTGCAGAACCCCTTCCTCCCCAGCCGCCTGCCCCCAGCCCTGGCATCCAGCTCCTTCCAGCGTGCCCACGTGGGGCGCAGCCAGCCCAGCCCCCTTCATGCAGGAGTCAGGCGGGCTCGCTCATAATGCATCGGGACAGCTGTTAAGAGGCTCTGAGCCACCACTCAGCGGGCCTCATTTCCCCAAATCTCTGCAGCCAGCTGATTAATGGCGATTAATTACCCATCTCCGGAGGCGGGCGAGGGCCCAGCCCGGCCAACGCCAGCTTGTTCAGAGGATCTGCAACCCAGCCTCCCACATCCCACCTCTGCATCCCACGTCCAGCGCTCCCAACAGGAGCAGGGAGCGAAACAGGGCAGAGCCCTGACCCCCGGCTGGGAGAAGGGCCCTCACCGAGGCCTGAGCCTCCCCAGCACCCGGAGCAGCCCCCCAACAGCAACACCGCCCCGGTCTTCCTCTGCTGCCCCAGAAACGCAATGAGGGCAGACCACAGGCACGTCACGGGCAGGACCCCTGCTCTGCGCCCCCATGGGCAGCCTTCCTGCCTCTCCCACGCTGGGCAGGTGCCCTGACTGCTAGAAGCTCTGGAAGGACGGACAGCGCCTCTCCTCCGGCCCCGTCCCCTCCCAGGGAACCTTGGGTGGCCTCGGTTGGCTGGGGTGAAGTCTCTGCCCTGGACTCCCTTTCCAGCCAACCCCCTCGAATGCCGCCCCCTCAACACCCCTGAGGACACCGGCGGCTACACCCCCACGTGGCCAGGACCTGGGGACGTGGGCCTCTGGAACGAGGAAAGGGGACACTGAATCAGCCTAGACGCCTAGCACCCTGCATCCGGCAGGGAACACATGGGAAAGAGCTACCCTCTTGCTTCCAGGGCAAACCAACCCGCGTGCGCGCGCCACCAGGGGATGAGCATGTGGCCATGGCATCCTGGGGCCAGGAGCCGGGCAAACGCGTGGGAGCAGCTGTGGGCAAAAGCTCTCCGAGATGCTTTCTGTGGACTGAATGGTGTTCGAAACAGGGGCATACCATGCGAAGCTTTAAAACGAGCTTGTTTTTAAGGGCCGGACAGTCTGAATTACCTGCTCAGAATCACTAGGGTAGCTTGGTAAAAATGCAGATTTCTGGGCTCTGCCCCAGACTGGCTAAATCAGAACCTCTGGGGGTGGGGCCCAGGAAACCTCCATTTAACCAGACGCCCCCTCCCCCGGACTCTCCAGTCTGTCCACTTTGAGATTCCGCAGCCTGGAGCAGCGTTGTCCAAGAGAACGTTCTGCAGCGATGGAGGCGTTAACTCTCTGCTCTGTCCAGCATGGGAGCCACGAACCACACGTGGCCACTGAGCACTTGAAATGTGGCTGATGTGACTGAGGAAGTGGATTTTTAATTCTATTTCATTTTAGTTAATTTCCATTTAAAGAGCCACGTACAGCTCGTGGCTCCTGCACCAACTTGGAGCCACAAACGTCCCATCTGGACAGAAGTCCTGGGCAGGAGGAATGTGCCCCCTCCTTTCTGGATGCACCCCCGTGCAGCGGGAACATGAGGTGGGGGGACTGGCACATTCGATGCTTGACCTACGAGACCCAGGAGGGGACAGGCCAGCACCAGCCCTTCCCCAGGAGCACACGCCTCCTCTCTCTGCTGCCAGGCCATCTCTGGACCCCAGGGACCACAGCCAGGGTCACCCAGGCTGAACTCCAGCTGTCTAGGCACCGCCAGGAGGCCCACGGGAAGACAGAGGCCATGCTCGAGCTGGCAGGGCTGGGGGTCCTGCCAGATGGTCCCGGCCCGGTGGACGGCTGGTATGCTGGGAACTCTCCGTCAGCCCCGGTTCTGGGCACTGCGAGGCTGACCTGGGAACTGCAGCCCTCAGGCACCCGGCCCGCTGGCTTCCCGGTGGGCTCAGCCAAAGGGGGCAGTGATGGAAGGCAGGAGAAGCCAGGGTCCGGGGGACTCACTCTCCAGCACCCTCCCTCTCACGTCCTGCCAGACGGCCCCTCCTCCACGGCCCCGTAACACCCCCACTCCACTTGTCCTTCAGGCCTGGGGACGGGCGATGGCTCCTCTCGCTGCCCACACTTCAGTGACCAGCCCCTTGGTTTCCACCACCCGGGGTGAGCTCTGTTTCCTGCCGAGACCAACCCCGCCCCACATCCATGGGGGCCACGGGGAGAAGAGCTGGGGCAGGGTCAAGGCTGTGGACTTACCTCCTGCTCTGAGAGGCCATCGATGATCTCGGACACCTCGTGCTCGCTGCGGGCGGCTGACATGGAGAGCCCGCTGCCCCGCTGGCCCACCCTGCTGGAGACCAAAGGGACACACTCAGGACGGCCCCTCGGCAGCCGGGGATGTGCGGCCGGCACCCCGGCACAGACCTGAGCCCACAGCTCCCCCAGAGGCGGCGTGTGGGCGGCAGGGGAGCGGGCTGGGCCTCCCACACCCCCACCCTGGCCTGGGAACACCAGCCACACAGACGCAGGTTCAAATCTCGGCTCTGCCTCTTGGGTTCTGTGCCTCAGTTTCCACCCATGTTACTGGGAATGAAGTGGCCCCCAGCTCCCAGGCTGGGAGGAGGCTCGGGGGACACGGACGGGGCGAGTCCACTAAGGAGTGAGAGCCGCACCATCGGGGCCCATCGCCTCAGGCATGTAGCAACAGAAAACACAGCCACGCCTCACTGAGCGCCTACTGTGCGCCGGCACCAGCTCTCACGCAACCCTCCCAGCCAACGTGCGAGACCAGCACCCTGAGCCGGCGTCCGGGCCAGGCGGTCTCTCCCGTGACCCACATCGGGGATGTCAAACTCTGCTGCCTTCAGGGGCCATGTGGGCCGCTTACAGGAACAAGGCTGGGCGCCAGGAGCCCGTGGCACACCGGAAGGAGAACCTGCTCCACTGAACTGTATTTACGTTTCAAATAGGCGTTCAGGCCAAGCAGGCTCTGAGGGCCGGACTCGGCCCCGGGCCACCAGTTTGAGACCCTGCTTTCCATCACACACCGGCCAGGGCTCGTCTGCTGACAAAGCGTCCAGAGGATCCAGGTCCCAGGCGTGTCCTGGAGAAAGGGAGGGGAAGGCAGGGGGCCTGGCCCAGCCCGCTCACCTCTGCATGCGCTCCTGCAGCTCACGCTGCTTGCGGATCTCGGGGAACTGCTTCTCGTAGTACTCGCGCACCTTGTTCTCCTTGGCGCGCCGCCGGGGGTTGCTCTCGATGCGTTCCACCCTCCTCTCCCAGGCCTCCATGAGCTGGTCATAGCGCTGGCAGAACTTCTGTTCCTGCGGAGCAGCGCGGGCGGGGCCTGAGGAAGGGCTTCCAACTGCGTGCGGGCACCGGCCCCCAGCCCCGGGTCCCCGACTCCGGCCGCTCTGCACCGTCACAGGGCAGACGGGCGGGCTGGGACGCTCAGACGCGCACGGTCACACACGTCACACACACAGTCACGCAGGGCCCGGGCAGCCCCGGGCTTCTGAAGAAACTCACAGCCTCCCCCAGAGCCTGGCACCTCCCTCCCTGGGGAATGGCCCGCCGCCTGGCCGCCCACTAGAAAGGCCTCGTCCTCCTCCACGTGTGGCTAAGTTTAAATCACGTAAAATTAAGTAACATTTAAAATTCAGACCCCTAGTTCCCCCACCACGTTTCTAGCACTCAGCAGCCACACGTGGCTGGGGCTACCGTCTGTCGTGGACAGTGCACACAGAGACCATTTCCATCATCGCAGGAAGCTGTCGGACACTGCAGCTCTGGGTGTCTGTCAGGCCTGGGGCGGCCCCCAGAGAGCCTTGCTTCTAAACAATTCCTCATTCCCTGGCCTCGGGCTCAGCCATGCTCCCCAGGCCCAGGGACTGGGCTGCAGTCTGTCCAGGACAAGGAAGTCCCTCTCCTCGTCTAACCACAGTGCCTCCTGCTGCACATCCTTAGAGAAAAGACCCCCAATCCAGCCCAGAACATAGCTGCCTGGCTTCCGAATCTCCAAGGTGACCTGGCCCGCGAGCAGGCGGGGAGCGTCTGGCTGCCCGTGAGACCCCACTCTCCCCATCGCTAACAGCTGCGGTGGACAGATGGCACGGTCGGGGAGCCTCGCCAGAATGCCCTCTGGATGCCTTGGCACAATCAGAAAGCCCCTCTCTGGTCCTCGTGCCCAGATGCTCCACCCCACCCTATGTCTCAGCTTCTGACCAAGGCGAGCTGTGACCTTGGTCCTCACCAAACCCAGGAGCAAGACGGCCCCCAAGGTGCAGTCAGGCCAGCTTTGAGGGGAAGCAGAACTTGAGCCCCAGCTCCTGGGGGCCCCACACGTATGTGGGCTGTTCCAAGAACCCGCCAGAGATCGAGACACGGTTCCAGTGGCAGACGAGGCCACACGGGTTCACATGGCAATGTACTGTGGAGAGCCCTCCGCTGCAGATGGGGACCAGCACGGAGGACCAGCCCAGGCCACCCTCTCTGTGCCCTCAACCCCCAGAGAGGCCTCGGCCTGACGACAAGAGTGAGAAAACGTGGGCAAAGGTGAGAAAAGCTCACCAAAACCAGCCAAGGAAAATAATGCAGTTCCCGGTGAAGACAGGTAAGGCAGAAACCTCAGGGTCTCTGCCCAGCTGCCCAGTGGAGGGGCCAGCAGGCAAGGGTGGGGCAGAGGGACATGGGCAAGAACACCCGTGAGGGGACACCCGGCCATGCCGCCCGACACCAAGCACTGGGCACAAAGACCCGAGCAGCTCCCAAGGACAGCCCAGGATGGGGAAGTCCCCCTGCACGTCTAACCACACGCCGCCTGCTGTTGCCTGTGCCGGCACCCACTGCACTCTATGTGCTCTCAGCCCACGGAGGGCCGGGGGCTGGGCCCCTCGGGGCATCCCACAGCAGGGGCTGCAGCCCTCCACCAGGCAGCGGGGACTCCGCTCAGGGGAGTCCATAAGGGTGGTCCTGGTGGCTGGAGTAGGGGGCAGATCTCACACTCACACATGCACATACACACACTCACACATATACACACACACACACACTCTCTCCCACTCACTCACACTTGGGAGGCCGGGTCAGAGCTAAGCCAGTCTGTGGGGTGCCGCGAGTAAGAATCTGCAGAGGAAAAGGAACAGGGCGGCTGCACCCCTGTGACCACAGTTTGTGCGCGTTATGAAGACAAGTCACCCCGCCCACAGCTTCTCCCTCACGGAACTCCTCCTCCTCCTCATCACCATCATCACCATCACTATCACCATCATCACCACCATTCTCATCACCATCAACACCGTCACAATCACCATCATCACCATCACCGCCATCACCATCATCACCACCACCATCACCACCATTCTCATCACCCTCACCATCATCACCACCCTCACCATCATCACCATTACAATCACCATCATCATCACCACCATCACAATCACCATCATCATCACCATCACCATCATCACCACCATCACCATCACCACCATAACCATCACCATCACCACCATCACCATTCTCACCACCACCACCATGACAATCACCATCATCATCACCACCATCACAATCACCATCATCACCATCACCACCACCATCACCACCACCATCACCATTCTCATCACCATCACCATCATCATCATACCATCACCATCACTCATCACGATCACCATCATCACCATCATCACCATCACCATCATCACCATCACCACCATAACCATCACCATCACCACCATCACCATTCTCATCACCATCATCACCACCATGACAATCACCATCATCATCACCACCATCACAATCACCATCATCACCATCACCACCACCATCACCATCACCACCATCATCATCACCATCACCATCACCACCACCATCACCATCACCATCATCACCATACCATCACCATCACTCATCACCATCACCATCACCATCATCGCCATCATCACCATCACCATCACCATCATCACCATCACCAACACCACCACCACCATCATCACCACCACCACCACCATCATCACCATCATCACCAACACAATCACCATCATCCTCATCACCATCACAATCACCACCATCACCATCATCACCATCACCATCATCACCATCACCACCACCATCACCATCACTATCATCATCATCACCATCACCACCACCATCACCATACTCATCACCATCACGATCACCATCATCACCATCAACATCATCATCATTCTCATCACCATCACCATCATCACCATCACCACCATCACCACCATCATCACCATCATCACCATCATCACCATCACCATCATCCTCATCACCATCACCATCATCCTCATCACCATCACAATCACCATCATCATCATCACCATCACCATTCTCATCACCACCATCACCACCATGACAATCACCATCATCATCACCACCATCACAATCACCATCATCACCATCACCACCACCATCACTACCACCATCACTACCACCATCATCACCATGATCGCCACCATCATCACCACCACCACCATCACCACCACCATCACCACCACCAACACCACCACCATCACCACCACCATCATCACCACCATCACCATCATCATCGTTATCACCATCACCACCACCACCACCACCATCATCACCTCTGACACTGGCTGAGGGCTCCTGTGTCACGTGCCAGGCATGGAGCTGAGTCCCTCCCACAGACTGACGCACCCAAAGCCCCCTCTGGCCATGACCACCATCACCTCTGCACAGGGGGGTCCCAGAGCCAGGAAGTCAGCCTGTGATCACACCATTAGGGAGTGGAGAGGCCGGGACCCTGCCGGAAGCAGCCGACAGTTACTCTGATGAAGTCCAGGGCATCTATTTGTCCTTCTGTTGTTCGTGTTTTGGTGTCATTTCCAAGAATCCACCACCAAAGCCAAGGTCATAAAGAGCCACCCCATGGGATTTTCCTGGGAATGTTATGGCTTTAGCTCTGACATTAAGGTCTCTGATTCATTTCGAGTTAATGTTGTGTTAATTTTGTGAGGCGGGGGTGTGGACACCCAGCTGTCCCAGCACGCGTGTGCAAGAGACCGTCCTTTCTCACTGAAAGGAATAGGGCTCCGGGCTTCTATCACCCCGTGTGTAGACGGTGTGAGGGTGACGGGGCTGGAACTCCCAGCCGCTGTCCTGCCTGCAGCTCAGGCTGCAGAAGAAAATCACAGACACCGGGTGGGTCAGAAAAAATGAGAAACTCAGAGGTACGGGGGATACGAGAGAGAGAGCTAACTGTAGGAGAGTGAGGACAGCGGGAAGGGAGTGGAGAGGCTGATGATGCTGAAAACAGGAAAATACCCTCTGCAGTGGGTTCAATGGTAATCCCCAAACAGATATACCCACGTCCTGACCCCTTGAGGTTGCAGATGCGACCTGATTTCAAAAAAGGTTTTTGCAGAGGTAATTAAGGTAAGGATCTGCAGATGAGGTCATCCTGGAGGAGGTGAGTCTAAATATGGTGACAGACGCCCCCGCGAGGGGAGAGAAGCGGAAAAGGCCAGGTGGAGACCAGGCAGAGAGGGGAGGGGCGCAGCCACGGCAGAGGAGCGTCTGGAGCCCGGGAGAGTGGGGAGGCAGGAAGGACCCTCCCCGAGGGCCTCACAGGGGAGCACGGCCTGGCTCACACCTTGACTTTGGACTTCCGGCCTCCGGCCTGTGAGAGAAGACACTGCTGTGGGTTTAAGTCCCTGGTTTGTGGTCGCTTGTCACAGCAGCCCCGGGAAACAAACACATCCATGCTCCACGCCGGGCTCGCCCCGCCTCACCCATGCCACACCACCACCGCCACATCACAACCCTCTTCACCAGGGACCCCGCTCGACCCTTCCCGCAGCAGCCCCCGATCCCCACCAGGACCCACCCCATTTCAGAGCAGGAGGAGCGTGGCTGGGGGGAGACTGCTGTCCCAAGACGACACACAGCAGGGCACGGGGCGGTCAGAGCCCAGGCCTCTGTGGTTCCAGCACAGCCTCACACCCCGCCCCACGACCCGGCCTCGCAATGGGCCAGCTCAGCCCCTGGGGAAGGACAGCCAGCCTGGGGGGTCGTGTTGGCGCAGACTCCCGCGGGGCAAGGGCCTCTGCTCTCTGGGCAGAAGCGTGGAGCAGGGGGCAGCTGACCTGCGGTCCCAGGAGCCCCTAAGGAGTGGGGTCCCCTCCCCGCCTGAGGGGGGCTGACTCACGGCGGGGGGCCCAGGGGGACGGGGACAGTGGATCTGAGGTCTGGGCCCACCTGGGCCCCCTCCCAGGCCCTGCTGGAGACCACCCGGGGGCTCTGGCTCATTACATAAGAACAGGAACGAGGGCACTCCAGACCCCCCGGGTGGCCGCAGCTCCCGTGGTTTCCGAACTCGTTTTCACAGGGGCCTCTCTCAAGATGGGCTCAGCTTGGCCACAAAGCCACCCAGAATTTCTTAGAAGTCTCCCATTCCTCTGTCTTTAAGTAAGCCCACTCTTCTTCCACCCCCGCAAGAGATCCCCAAGGAGCTGAGAGAAATTTCTGGAGAACTTCCGCCCACCCCAACGCCACCCCAGCAGCCACAGGGGTCCTTAAAGATGTAAATCAGATCTTCTTCCTCCAGCCCCCATGAACCCCACACCCATGCGGGACCCGGGGGGCCGTGAGTGTGGCCTCGGCTGGAAGGTCGTGGGGACAACTGTGCATTTTCAGGTGTGACAATGCGAGAACTGCTTTCCTCCCAGGAGACGGACGCGGGAGCGTTAGGGTGAGGGGCGCACGCGTCTGACTGCTTCCTAACAGTCCAACCACAGAAACACTCGTACTGTGTCACACACACACCCACACGCACACATACTCGTACCGCGTCTCACACACACACACACACACACACACACGGATACAGAAACGTTAACATGACCGACTCTAGATGGAGGGAGTATTGGTGTTCACTGTTCTCTTCTGTCACATTTCCTGCCTGCCTGTCAAATTTCCCAAATGACTAAAAATTCTTATAATAAAGACTTTGTATTCCTCATTAAGAATACAATTGTTAAGAGTACACTAAGTATCCCACTGTCTTTAGAATAAAATCTACACGTTCCGTCCTAGCTTGAGGGCAGACGTCTCTCCGTGATCCTCCTCCCACGATCCCCTCCATGCGCTGCATTCAGACTTGCCTGATGCCTTCTGTCCCATTACCAAGGCTGGTTCCTGCCTCAGGGCCTTTGCACGTGCCGTGCCCTCTGCCTGATACTCTGACTTCCAGATCCTCACATGGCTGGTACTTTCTTGTCATTCCACCTCAATATGGAGGTCACCACCCCAGGGACATGCGGGCCATCCCCACGCCTCCACACAGCACTTTTTGCTGTGTCTCCTGCCTCAACAGGCCATGCCAGGCCCGCAGCAGGTCCTCGGTAAATGTTTCCTAATTCCATGAATAACTCCATCCAGTTTCCTGAACCCCATCCACCCAGTCAACCTGGGGTCTGAGGAAGCTTTGAAAGGAAAGGCTGGGAAGCCCAATGCTTCTCACCCCATGAGCCCTGGGGTCCAGAGTGCTGCCTACGCAGCTTCCTAATAGCCCAGCATCTCGGCTGGAAGTGTCTTCTCTCTACGAGGGCCCGGCCAAGGCCTGGGGCCAGAGCAGGGCGGGTTCAGAAACTGGTTTAGAGGGACCCACACCCTCAAGTGGTCCAATCAGAGCTTTCGTGAGATGGTCTGAGAAAAGGCTGCTCTCCCTCTGGCTCTAGAACACTCAATCCTGCTGCAGGAGCTCAGGTCCCACAGGGAAACCAGTTTGTATGTACTAACATACAGAGTTGGGGAAAACTGCATAGACATGAAGCTAAAACCTGATCGAACCATTCCTGAACTCCACCCAATGGACTTTTTCAGCTACACACATTCCTTTACCGTTTAAGCCCATCTGAGGCAGCTCCTCTTCCCCTCACAGCTGAAAGAACACTAAAGGGTAACTCCCCCTCGATCCCTGGGCCCCAACCTCCCCCACTGAATCAGCGATATAAACGGCCACCCGAAACCACAACTACAGGTGGTCCGTCACTCGCGGTCTCCCTGCCTTGGGCCCGCTTCCCCGCTGAGACGCCAGAGTGTGCAGCGGGAGGCAGGACTGGGCTCCATGTGCTGTTCTGACGTAGCCGCTGAGGGCTGGTGCAAGCACGGGGGCCTCGATGCTTCTCTGCACCCTCATTTTACTGAGCCCGGATGTGGGCACAGCGGGCCGGGACAGCCTCATTTCTCAGGGTGCCCCCTGCCGTCACCCCCACCCCGCACACGGCCCACCCCGATCCCCCACCTCTTCCAACAAACTTCTCTCCTTCTGCCTGGAAAGCCCCCCGTGGGGCACGTGCCGAGGAACCAAACTCCCGGGCCCCCATTCGGCTCCCCGCTTCCTGGACGGGAGCGGGGCGGCAGGATCCGGCCCGTCCACACCCGCGCCTCCCGGCCGTGCGCCCCGAGCCCCGGCTCCCGGGGCCGCTGCCCACTGCTCCCGACTCTCGCCGCCCCGGGCTCCTCTGCAAAGCCCGGACCATCGGGCGGGCGGCAGTGGCCCGGGGCGGGGGGCGCGGCGGGGGCGGCGACTCACCCATTGCTTCCGAGCGTGGTTCCTCCGCTTGAAGTACAGGATCAGCTTCTTCCGCATGGCCTGGTTTCTACGCGGGCGGGGACAGCAGACGGCGGTCAGCCACGCGCGGCTGTCCTCGGAGACGCAGCCCCACGTGCGCCCCGGCGGCGGCACCCGGGGAGCTACGCGACCCCCGCAGCCCCAGAGAGCACGGCCCAGGGCGCCCCTCTGCCCCACGCGCGGGCCCGGCCACGCTTCGGCCGAGCGCTCTGCAGGAAAGGGGATCCCACCGGGGAGAGCGCACTGGGGCCTCCTGCCCTCCCAGGGGCTGCCGTCACCCCCGCACCCAGGCTCCCCTCTGCCCGTCAGCCACACCTGCCATGGAACACGGGCCACACAGACATCCACGGCCTGACACCAGGGGCGCAGGCCGGGGAGACGGAGGCCCGAGACCTGCAGCCCCACAGAGGCCGGCTCCAACCCAGCGCCGCGCTCCGGCCTCAGGGCCCCTCTGCCCTGGGGACAACGACAGGGCAGCGACGGGCTGGTGCGGGGCAGGGACCCTCGGGAAACCCCCGGGGGGCAGGTTGAGAGAAAGGGAGACAGAGAGAGACACTAAGACCAGAAATGAGAGGGCCGGAGTGCAAGTGAGACTCGGAGAGAGAGAAGGAGACCTAGAGAGAGACACAGAGACAGAGAGACAGAGAGACGGATGAGATGAGATCGAGAGAGGGACAGAGACCCAGAGACGGACGGAGGGAGGCGAGACTGGGAGAGAGAAAGAGAGAGAGGGAGAGGGAGACAGGCAGAAAGGCCGAGAAAGACAAGATCCGAAGACAGGGCAACAGAGACCCAGAGGGAGGGGAGGGAGGGAGGACCCAGAGGCGGGAGAGGATGTCCCCACAGCCGCCCAAAGATCTAGGCCCCCGTCCCTCAGCCCCCAACCACCCCCACACCGAGCAGAGAGCTGCAGCTGGTCCTGGGGCCTGTGGGGTCACAGACAGGCCTCGGGAGCCCAGTGCGACCCCAATCGTGCTGGCCCGGGCCGGGTGGGCAGCGGCGTCAGCTTTTCTGGGGAGGGGCTCCCGGAAATCCTTATGTTCTCAGCCATGTCCAAACCCACCCAGAGCTCATGAACCGCTGATGGGAAGCCACGAGCCGCCCAGCCTCCAGGAGGCATCGTGGGCCACCCAGGACCCCAACCTCAGGAAAAGGACAAAGGGGGGACCCCCAGGCCCTGATGGATGAATGAAGCTCCCCCAACACATGCTTCACGGGGCCTAAGGGCCTGGAGTTACCTGACACGGGACCCCGTGGAGGGCCACTCTCTGTCCCCACGCCCAGCAGACAGACACCGCCGCCTCAGAAGGCCAGCACTCTCAGCTACGGCCACCAGGCCTCTGTCCCAGGCAGGACGAGGTCCCCCAGGCCTGCCACACCCGCCCTGACTCCCTGGCCCCACACTGGTTTCCTGCAGGCGGTTGATGTCCTCACCACCTGGTCTCGAGTCCAGAAACGCTCACGAGCTCACATTCCCTCTTAGTCAGGAGGAAAAGGCCGCAGCGAGAGCGTGGCCTCTCCCTCCTGGAAGCCCCGGGGACGCCGCTCAGGCTCAGAGCCCTGTCCACAGCCCACAACCTCCCCACCGCCCAAAAAGGAAGTGCCACGCCCACTTCTGGGGGGCCTGCAGGGGGTGGCCCTTGGCTCCTGGGGTCACTCTGGCCTCATACCCAGCTGGGGCCTCCCCACCTCAAGGCCTCAATACTGACATGAGCCGCCCCCACACAGGCAGGTGAACACTGGGGGGGGGGGCCCTCAGTCACACCGGCTGAGACCAGAGCCCTTCACTCCACCACAGGGGTCTTGGAGCAAATCTCAGAAAGTCTTGCAGCCTCAGTTTCCCCATCCGAAAAATGGGAGCAATAGCATCATGCTTTCATCTCCTCAGTCAGTCAACAAATGCTGACTGAGTGCCAGGCACTGTTCCAGGCGCAGGGGACACAGCTGTCAGCAAGACAGGCAAGGACCCCTCCCTCACGGAGGCAACGCTTAGAGGACTCACCCTGACAATAAACGAGACAATCAACACAATCCTGGACTCAGGAACTTCAATAGGGTGGGGGGCAGCAAGTGGGTGGGAGGGGAAAGCACAGCTATTTTAGACTCAGTGGTGCAGAAAAGTCTCTCGGAGACGGCGTTGGGCCAAGATCTACATCACCAGAAGCACCAGTTATGGAAAGATCCAGAGGGAAGGGCACTCCAGGCAGAGGGCACTGCAGGTTTGCAAAGGCCCTGAGGCAGGAACAAACTTGGAGTATCTTTAGAACGGACAGAAGGCCCACGTGGCTGGAGAGCACTGGGGAGGGACAGAGCGCAGGGGGAGAGGACATGAGCAGGGACGGCAGCCCGCTGTCCAGGGCCTGGGGGGTTGGACACAGTCAAGGGTTTGGACTTAACAAGAGACAGACAGCTGAGAAGGCCAAGAAGCAAAGAGAGCCCAGAGCGACGGGCCCGGGAGCACCGAGGTCTTGGTTTCTCCCTGGAGGAAGGGCTGATGCAGAGCTGGGGCGGGAAGCACACAGAGGAGCCCAGAACATCTTTAAGAAAAGAGGTGCCAAAAAGAACAAAAAAGATCAGAAAGACACAGAACCCAACCCGCAAGAATTTCCGATTACGAAAGGGGAGTGATGTGAACGGCAAAATAAATAAGAGTAGATTAAAACCGAAAGAATAAAATAAACACCTGTGAATCCACAGTGATATAAATAAACGACTGAATAAATAAATAAGTGCGGAGAAGGGTCGAAGCCTCCTTACGGAATTCTAACGCGTAAACGCGGAGGGATGAGGGAAAGAAGTGAAGCCCATCAGAGCACCACAGTTCTGATTGCTACAGGCAAAGATCCACAGACGAGGCTAAAGTTAACAGGCAAAACTTTGAGGAGAAACGGGAAATTTGCGTAGCCTCACAGCACCTTCCCCTAGATATTTACTAATCATCGTGGCAGTGTTAACTTGCATCCACAAACTCTCTGATGTCCCTCCTCCAGGAGGGGGAGCTGAACTCCCCTCCCCTTGGCAGCAGGCTGGATGGGCGACTTGCTTCTACAGCGCAGAGCACAGACGAGGAGGAGAGCAGCCCGAGGGAGGAGAAACACGGCACCACTACGCTCGTCAGGGAGCCAGGCGGACACCCCCAGTCAGTGTCAGGTACCCCTGATGGATGGGACAGGAAAGGCGTCTCGCTCACCTCTGTGGGACGCTTCCCCCAAATCCACAACACTGGTCTCCTCATGAGGTCACATCAGATAAACCCAAATTAAGGGACGTTCTACAGAATCCCTGACCAGTACTCTTCTCAAGTGTCAGGGTCAGGAAAAACAAGGAAAGACAGAGAAACTGTCACAGACCGGAGACCAAGGGACCCAAGGACGAACGGCAACCTGGGAACCTGGATCAGACCTGGGACCAGAGAACGGACGTGAGTGGAAAAATGGAGAAGATCCAAAGACCGTCTGTGGTTTAGCGGAGAGTGTGACTAAACCACGGCGACTTTCTCAGTCTGACGAGCTCACCAGCTGCCAGACGAGGTCCACATTAGGGGACGCTGGGTGACGGGTACACAGAAATTCTTCGCAACTCTTCTGTACATCTAGCTATTTTGAAATAAATAGTTAAAGAAAAAAAGAGGGCCGTGCTCTATGTTGAAATGCCACGGTGAGGACCAAATAGAATTCACTCCAGAGCCCACGGGGTTGGTGTCTGTCACAGGCTGAAATGTGTCCTTCCCATCAAAACAGAGGATGGCGTCCTAACCCCCATTCCTCAGGATGTGACCTTGTTGGAAATCAGGCTTTGACAGAGATCGTCAAACTAGAATAAGGTCATTAGCGTGACTCTACATGACTGGGGTCCCTCTAAAAGTGAAATCTAGACACGGGGACAGACACGCCGAGAAAGAGGACATGAAAAGACGTGGCGAGAAGCCAAGCAAAGACAGAGGATGGGGGTGAAGTGTCCACAGGCCGAGGAACACCCAGGGAGCCGGCGACACCGGGAGCTGGAGGCGGCGGGAGGGAGCCTCCCCGGAGCCACGAGAGACGGAGGCTGCGCCGAGCCGCAGCTTCCTGGCTCCCGGCCCCCAGAACCGGGAAGGAGCTGCTGCGTCTCTCAGCCTCCGGGCGGTGGTCCTCTGCCGGCCGCCCGCGGAGCTCCCACCGCGGAGAACGCCTTCAGCCAACAGCGAACCGGGGCTGGCTTCCCCGTAAGCACGGGGCCTGGCCCCAGAGGCACCCGCTCCCGCCAAGGAGGACAGGTGTCGGGCCGCAGGTTGCGAGCGGGCGCCATCCAGCCCCCGGGGCCAGCCTGCGAGCGTGTGGTGTGTGGACCGCCGTGCTTTCTAAAAAATCTGAACTTGGTGCCAGCATTGAAAACCAGAAGCTGTTACATAAAAAGCTGAACTTAAAGCTTCTCCTGAAAATCAGGCGATCTGGCCACATGCCCTCACGGCCACGGACTGGGAACTGAGGCCGGACTGCCCCTTTACAAGGGCGATGGGCTCGCCATTCGCCACAGTCCCCACCACTCCCTACTGCCCCACACCTTCCCGCGCCCAGAAGCATGCATCTGGGTCTCGATCCCCTAGACATCCGACTTGGGGCGTCCACTTGCCCAACATTCTTCCAGCAAACATTTTTTGAGTGTTTATTTTGTCCCAAGAAATGTTTTGGTATCGGAGATGTAAATAGCTTACCGCAGACGAATCTTTTCTGCTGAGATCTGTCCCCAAAAATAAGGAACCCAGTCTCTAGGAGGGCTCTGGAAGGGCTGACAAACCAGCAACTTGATGAGTTCGCCAGTGGAGGCATTTACGGGGTCTGAGAGATCTCTACAGTCTCGGGGAGAAGTCAGGGTTTGGAAAGGCACAAGCTGTAAGGAGACCACGGCTACGTTGTCCGACTGGACTGTAGAGGAGCAACAAGGAGGTGGAAATTCTGTGGTCGTAGGAGAGTCTGGCCAGGCCCGGGTGGCACGGGCCCTGAGGTCCCTGGGGTTCTGGAAAAGGAAAGCTTGGGGCAATCAGGGGAGGCTTCCTGGAGGAAGGGAGGTTTGAGCTGAGCCTTGGGAGAAGCAGAGGAATGGGGTGGGCAGAGGTAAATGAGAAGAGCGCCGGGGCCCAGGGGAGTAGAGGATGATAGGGAACTTGAGGGGGTAAGGAGGGGTGTTCAGGACAGCCGGACCCCGACTGCTGGGAGGATCAGAAGGAGGCCGTCCATGCAGGGCCCTGAATGCCCTGGGAAGAGCCTGTCAGATCGGGGTGACGGAGGGTCTGAAGCCTGCTTCCTGGCACCAAGCACTCTTCCCAGGCAAAACAGACGCTCCCAGGACACCACCTCCTGACAAGCAAAGTGATGTGAGTCGCCCCCGCTCACAGGCTGGCGAGGAGCAGAGACTGAAGACCCAGGAGGGGAAACAGGGCGGCGTGCAGATCGGCTGGCCTCGAGTGTGGCTGTGTGACCCCGGCGAAGTTACTTAATGTCTCTGAACCTCCAGAGCAAGACCGCAGAGAGCCATTAACAGCACCCTACGTGCCGGCGTCCCCTTGCCGCCTGCACAGCCCTGCTCCTGCTGCCCCGAGCCCGAGGGTCTGCGGACCCCCCGGGGCCGGGGGCCAAGAGCCCGCAGCAAGTGCCCCTCGAGGCAGGGGCACCGCCCACCCCTCCCGACGCGGCAGGTGGCAGTGGGAGGGCAGGGAGGTGGGGAGAGGTGACTCTGAGGCGGCGACTTTGCCAGCATGGCGGAAAGTCAAGCGTGAAATTAACTGTAACCTCGCGGCCGGCACAGACACGGAGAATTAACGTGACAGGCCCGGTCCTCGGGGGGGACACAGCCCGCACCCGGTGGCAGTCACAGCGCCAGGGGAGGAAGACGGGAGGCCCGGCAGGGGTCGGGGGCAGGGGAGCCTGGTGGCGCTCTGCACCCTGAGGAGCAGGACGCCCCCCCGCCCGGCCTGATCCATCTCGCTGTCGTTATCCAGCTGTCACTTCACCCCAGACGTATTTATTTATTGTCCGTCTGCCCCGCCGGAATGTGAGCCCTCGTCACCGCCGTCTCCCCGGGGCCCAGAACACTGCCTGGCACACAGCGGCTGCTCGATAAACATTTGGTGAATGAATGAATGAATGAATGAATGAGGAATAACTTTTGGTCTCTGCAGACAAAGTGAAAAGAAGAAAAAAAAGTCGAAGGACGTTCCCACGTGCCCGACACTGACCTCGGCACCTAGGGACAGGAACTCACTGACCCTCAGGAACCCCAGGACACAGGAACTATTATATCCCCATCTCACAGAGGGGGAAACTGAGGCACAAGGGCCCGATGCTCATGGCTCTCCAGCTCCCACCTCAGGGAGCAGTGTTGCCGTCCCCACAGATGCCCAGGCCCCAACCTGGGTGCCCGGGGACCTCCCGCCCCTGACCCTCCACACCCCACCCCCGGCGGCTCCCACAGGGCCAGGGATCCCCTGCATCCCCCCTGCTTCCTGGACAGCTGCAGTGACCTCCACTGAGGCCTCCCGACCCCAGCCAGCCCTTCGTCCCTGCAGCCACCAGAGTGAGCTTTCAAAACAAAAGCCCCATGACATCAGCTCCCGGCACCAACCTCACCTTGGGCCTCCCTTCTACGTAAATAATAAAACCCAACCTCCTGCCTGCCCTGGGTGGTCTGCCTGGCACCCTCCTCTCCCTCGCCTACCCCCTCGGGCCACGCTGGCCTTCTCTGTGATCCCACCAGCTCAGTGCAGCCCCAGGGCCTTTGCACTGCCTGTTCCACCTGTCCGGGAGGTCCACACGGCCATCTGCCGCTCAGCCCCCAAGGTCCCCTCAGCTGTCAGGTCCTGCCCTGATCCCTGAGCTAAAGGCACCTCGCTTTCTCTCCCATCACCCCGTTTACCGTCGTCACAGCATTTCTAAAGTGAACGGCTGTGCCGATTTAATGATGACCACACTGACGTTAAAAATACAGAAGTGGGGCCCGGCCCCGTGGCGTAGCGGTTAAGTGTGTGCGCTCTGCTGCTGGCGGCCCGGGTTCGGATCCCAGGCGTGCACCGACACACCGCTTCTCTGGCCATGCTGTGGCGGCGTCCCACATAAAGTGGAGGAAGATCGGCCCGGATGTTAGCTCAGGGCCGATCTTCCTCAGCAAAAAAAAAATAAAAAACCACAGAAGTGGTCATGATTTTCGTGGATAACTAAGAAACAAAATTAAAATTCTAAGAACAAATCAGTTCAAATAATTTACTTACCGATATATTTTTCTAACATAAAGTGGATCACTTATTACGTAAGAAACCCTAAAATAATCCCTCTCTATGTTTTAAACTTGAACATGTTCATCTGTGATTCAGATTTGGAACAAACTTCACTAGGCGGCTGGTTACCCACTCAGCCAAAATGTGCTTCAGGATGAAGACCAGGGGACCGAAGAATAGGGCATTGGCTCAATAAGCTTCCAGTCTTACTCTGCTTAAACAGAGACGCAGCAGTGTCCTATCTGCTAATGTTATTTGAATGGACACCTTTTTCCTTTTTTATTTGCATTCTATGGCTGTTTTTATAACCTGAAATCATCCACCTTATTCAGCTTAAAATATTACTCATTTTTAGTGATGAAATGTGTATAAAATTTTCAGTATAATAATATCGCCATCAAAAATTGTTATGTCAGGGAGCCAGCCCTGTGGCCGAGTGGTTACAGTTCTGCGCGCTCCACTTCAGTGGCCCAGCTTCACTGGTTCGGATCCTGGGCGTGGACCTACACCACTCCTCAGCCATGCTGCAACAGCGACCCACATACAAACTGGAGGAACACTGGCGCAGATGTCAGCTCAGGGCTGATCTTCCTCACCAGAGGAAAAAAAAAAAATTATGTCAAAGGGGAAAATACAACTAGATCTATCACAGCATAAAGAGCTTAAGACAGCCATGTGACCAATGGATTTCCTATTAGCTGACATTTTCGTGTTTAACTCACTCATTTCTGTCTCCACTGTGAGACATAACTTGATGCAGGTCTGGGTCTCTGTTTGTTCACAGCTGAATCCCCAGGTCCTAGAGCTGGGCCTGGCACACAGCAGGGGTTCAACACATGTGTGCTGAATAAATGAATGAGTGAGTGAATGAATGAGTGAACGAATGAATGACTGAGTGAATGCTCCCAGCAGCGCTGCTCAGACACGAACACACCCTCCCCCAACCCACTGTGACAAGCCCCGAAAGCCCCCTCGCCCTTGCCCACCCTCCATCCAGGACCCCACCGCCCACAGTGGCCCCAGGGTGAGGCAGGTCCCGGGAGGCTCAGACAGGACTGCGGTAGCCCGAAGGGAAGACAAACGGAGCTGAGTGAGGACGGATCTGGTCCCTGAGCAGAGAACACCCGCGAGGCCAGACAAAGCACAGGCCACACAAAACAGAGACGCCAGCTGGACCAGAGCCCCAGCGGGGGACACTCTGCCGCCCCTGCCAGCCACAGGCCAAGAGCGACTCGGCATCCTCGGCAGCTGCACCTGAGCCCACCCGGGCCAAGGACCTCGCCGGCAACAAGAGATCTTCCAGGCTGCTCCATGGGTCACTGGGAGCTGCAGGGAGTGGCCGTGTTGGTCACCAGAGCTGGCACTCAAGACCAGGAACAACAGAAGGGACCTCCCGGTCCACTAGTCCAGCACCAGCAGATACTTAAAAACCAGGGGGAGGTCTGCACACCTCCAGGGATGGGGAGCTCACTACTGCACATGCAGCCTGCAATTCTACCCCAGCCAAGCTCAGTCAGGCCCGGCTGGACGGCTCACTGGACCAGCTAAGCACAGCCCTCTGAGGTCACACAAAACACCTGCACCCTCTCACAATGACGAACCTTGAACAGTTCAAAGACCATGATCCCAAAGAGTCCACCTCCAACCTAATGCCCCTGGAGTGTTCATGGCCACAGGGTCCCCAAGGGAGAGGGTCTGCAGTCCCCTTTACCTTTTTGGTTCCTGGATCACAGCATGAGGTAATATCCCCTTCTCAGCCAAGGAGGATATGCTCCCATTAATGCATCCCAAGAAAAAGCCAACCCTTCCAGCAGCCCCATCTCAATGCCGTGCTCCCAGCTTGAAGACACAAAGCCACCCACCCCAGCACAGTCCTGGTGCCCCTGTCAGGGCAGCTCGGCCCACGCTAACTGCGTGTGGCTCCTAACTGACATTTTCTTCTCTCCCAGCATCCATCTGGGAAAAGGCCCCATCGATGGGATACATCCTACTGGCCACCTCAAAAGCTTCCAGGTCCGGATTAACACTCCAGCTGCTCCACCCTGGGCCGTGCCACAGACGGACCCCTGTGCAGGCTGCAGGACACTCCCAAATACGCTACAGCAGAGCCCAAACCACAGGCCCGTGCTTGCCCCGGGCCCCCACCCCACCCCCTTGAGCCCACCCCCACCCCCCCCCCGGCCTGTGCACGCAGCGTCCTCAGCGCCCTCCCTAGCCCAAGGTGGGTTTCCCGAAGCTTCATGGGGCGGCCCCCTCGGCCCCTCCCCACCCCGGGCCGGCCCTGCTCCCATCCTAGGCCCTCCCTGGCCCAGAACCACTGCCCAAACCGCCCCTGTGCCCTCCTCCAGCACCGGGAACCCGCAGCCCACCCTGGCCTCAGGCCGGGGCACCTGTCCCAGCCCGTGCGCCTGCGCGCTGCCCGCGAGTACTCACATTTTGATGTTCTCATGATACTGCCTGGTGTCGGAGGGCTGGTTGTACAAGGGCTGTGGGGGAGACAGAGGGACGGACGTCAGGGCCAGGCCTGGGCTGCCACTGCCCCAGTGCAGGGCCCAGCGGCCGGAGCTCCCGCCCAGGGCCACCTCGGCCCCGGCGCCCCCGGCCCGGCACCGGGAGCCGTGCGCCAGCGTGAGAACCAGCGGCCAGCGGGCAGGACACGGAACGTGGGGACCCGGCCGAGAACAGGCTGTAACTCTCCAGGCACAGCTGTGGGCACCACGACCCCCGCCGAGGCCGTCGCGCCCCTGGGGGCTGCGGTCAGCAGCGGTCGCCACCAGGGAACACCAAGGCACCTCTCTGCACCCCGCCCCGTGACGTGCCGCGTCACCCACCGACGGGCGGGGGACGAAGAAGAGGAACAGGCCAGCAGTAGTGGGGAGGGGGTGACAGGGCGGCTGGCACACGTGTGCGCCCACGGCCCCGGCCCCCGCAGACGCCCAGAGCCGGCCAGGCACCGTGCTCCGCCAGGAGAGGGACGGGGTCCTGCAGCTCTGCCCACGCTGACCCCACGGGCCCACGGCCGGGAGGGGTGGGCGGACTGGGCCGCGTGCGGGAGCAGCGCCCACGGCCAAGGCGGCGGCTGCGGCAGGCCGCGAGGGCGCGGGACCGAGCTAGCACCGCATGTCTCCTGCTGGCCGCACCGGGGTCGGGGCGAGGGGCACGGCCTGGGCTCACGTCGTAGTCCTGCCGGTTCTGCCTGTGTCCCTGGGTGACTTACTGAAGCCACCTGCGCCCCAGGTTCTCTTCCGTAAATGGGGTTCAACCCACAGGGCTGTCACGAGGGTCACTGAGATAATGTGTGCAAAACTCTCAGCCCAGCGCCTGGGGCCGGAAACGCCCGAGAGCGTCATTCCCGCCATCGGGGCAGCGACCGTATCAACAGCACCAACGCTTCCCGCCTCCCTGCGTCCACCCGCCCTTGCTGTGGCCAAGGGAACAGTCGCAAACTTAACGGAAGCAGAGGCCTGGAAGCGTGTCTGCATTTCTGCTCCCCTCTGGTTCTCCTGCCCCTGCAGAGAAGCGGGCCGGCCCGGCCCGGCCTGCCGGAGGCGGAGAGACGACGTGACGGGCAGCAGCACCACCCCAGCCAGGGCCGGCCAGAGCCACCGGCCGACTGCCCAGCTGGTCACGCCTGTGAGAGAGCCGAGCCCAGGTCACCAGAAGGCTCAGCTGACTGCCTCACTCGTGGGAAAGAGTAAATGGTTGTGGCCTCACGCCCTCAGATGCGGGGCTGGTTTGTTACTCGGCAGCAGCTGATACAACTGTCATCCCCACTCTACAGACGAGAAAACCGAGTCCCTGAGAGGTTGCAACACTCACCCACAGCCGGTAAGAGGTAAGCTGGAACTAGAATCCCGTCTCTGAAGCCCGGCCCTGGAGGGAGGGGTTAGCTCCTCTCTGCCTGTGCCCCTCCCTGCGTGCCCCTCTGTGTGTCTGTGTGTCCCTCTGTGTCTCTGCGTGTCCCTCTGTGTCTC